TGGGCCTGGTGGGCACATTGTGTTTCAAGATAATGATCTTCTCTCCATTTCATAAAGAATGTGGAGGGAGAAGCCCATTTCATAAAGAATGTGGAGGGAGAAGCCCAAAAAGTGCTACCTTTGAAACAATGAGAATGCTTATGGGCAAGGAAGGGTAGAGTTAGATCCAGAGTTTTTTTTACAAGAAAAGTTGGTTTTGTTTAGGAAACAGGAACACAAGAACATATCTAGACTATAACCATGGAAACTCTGACTAAACATGACAAAATCTAAGAAAAACACCACAAAAGCACGTAAAAACCACACCCGCATAACGTCGAGCTTTCAAAAATTAATAGAAATGAAAGGAAATAAACATAAATTTCTCATTTATTATAGATTTAAAAGGAATGGAAGAAAAAATAAGAAATCTAAAATTTAAAAGGAAAGGGACATAATATCGCAATGAATAAGAATATTTGAAGAAGATTGCTTGAATTTGGGTTTGTTCCGGATTGTATTTCGCCCGCGGCCTTTTTACCTTACAGGCCTTAAGCCATTTGATGTCGCTACGCATTTTGAGCGGAAAGAGTGCCTTTTGAGCTTTCACAGTGGTACTCGGAGCTTGAAGATCCTTTTGGCGGTTGCATATTGCATTGATCCACCTTTGGGTGGTTGCATTGCCCTTGGAACTCCGCTGGTTGCTTGTTGGCTGAGTTGGATTGGATTTGGTGTGTTGGCAAGCGCCTTCCCCAGCTTGATCTTTACAAAACCGGAATTCGCTGGGTGAAGCTCGCTGTTGGTGGTTAAGCCACACTACATTGGGTTGCATCCACACCTTTGACATTGTACATTGACATTGGTTATTGAAACATTGCGTGTTGATACATTGCCAGTTGCCGTTGTACATTGAACAGCCACTTTTGCATTGTACATTGCCCGTTGGTTGCATCGCTCGTGACATTGGACATTGTACGTTGCCTTTTTGCAGTTGACACCTTAGTTGTTTCATCCTCCATTTTGCGAGGAACCATGGCTGATGAAGAGAAAGGATCATCTGCTTGGTACAAAGTTCCTACATGGGATGGGAATCCTTCGATCTTCCGGACCTTTCAAAGGGAGATGAGTTGGTGGATGGCGTCGATGGACGCATCGTCGTGCACCAAATACAATGTTGCAGCTCGTTGGACATTGCGCCAGACAGGCATCGTTCGAGCTCGATGTGAAGAGTTCACTCCCGAAGAATTGGCCGGGAAGACTGAAGTGAGGGGTACAGACCCATCATCTGGCGAAGAGGTGGTCCTTGTAGAAGCAGACCCTTGGTTTGGCATCCGCAAACTTATGAAGGCTCTTGAAGAGAACATGGAAAGGACCATCCTCGATCGAAAAGATGAACTTCGACGCCAATTTTACCAAGACCTCAAACGAAACGCTGGCGAGAGAATCAGCACCTTTTGCACCCGCTTTCGAACGCTTGTGTCGGAGATGCGTCGAGAAGGCATTATATTGCCAAGCAAGGAGTTGGGTTGGTTCTTGCGAAATCGCTTGGGGCTCGATGCAATTCGAGTCCAGTTGCTTGATACAACGTTGAGGGGTCGTGAATCCTATGAGGAAGTTGAAGCTGAACCATTGAGATTCTTCCGTGATTTGCATAGTGAAAATCCTTTGCATCGGAAGAGCGTCACTGATAGATCACCATTGCTCAGCCGCTTCCTCAGCCAGTCTCAGTCGGGAGCCTCATCTTACAGAACCTCACTCCCCTCCAGCGGTGGTTCATCGTCGTTCGGTACTCGGTCGTACAGGTCGACGTCGGTTGGTGGCAGTTCACAGAAGAGTTTTAGACAATCTCCCAAGCCTCCACCTCCACGAAGTGCCATGGTTGCTGAAGGGCTTGCTGACGAAGTCCTTGAAGGCGAAGACGATGAAGAGGAGTTGATTCCAGATCAGCCAGAGGCCAATGCAAGTGGCCTTGAAGAGGTTTTGACGGCGGAAGCCGAAGTGTTGGCGGCAGAGATTCAGGCTCTTGAAGAAGAGGGCATGGAACCTGACGTGCTGGAAGCCCTCGAATGTGGAGTCGAACAAGCCGCTGAGTCGCTTGTCAGAAGCAGAGTTCAATCAGAGCCACTATTTCGCCAATGCGTGAGGCTCGCCACAAGATTGCCGAAATCAAGAAGGATCGAGGATATGGAAAGCCTATGAGCCAACCTGCAAAACCTCGATTCACACGCAATCAAGTCAATGGCAAGAAAACCAAGTCGAGTTGTTGGGATTGCGGCCAGCAAGGCCATTGGAGTGGAGACCATGGTTGCCCAAACCCTGGAGCAGGACTCTACAAGCCCAAGAATAGCAATCCCAAGCCTCAGAAGCAAGTGCGTGTGGTTGAAGCTTTGACTACAGAGCTTTCCGCTGACCCCACTGCACCTGCGGATGAAGCTCATGAAGTGTTGACATTGTCTCGTGTGAGTCGTCCATCCACGTTGTCGGAAGCCTTGCGCCAATCGAACGAAGTCCATGTGAGCCAATTGGCCTCCCTATCCATGGACAAACGACTGATGGGTGCCTTGGGTTCAGCTTGTAACAGAACTTGTTGTGGAACAGCTTGCTTGGATCATTACTTCACCGCACTCAATGCCGCGCCCCAGGAGATTAAATGCTTGGTTCAACAATGCCCTGAGCAGGAGACATTTCGTTTCGGTGACGGCGGCACACAGAGTTCTTACAGAATCCGGGCGCCGGCCACGGGCCCGTGTCCTTGCCGAAGGTTATATACGCTCGCCGCCCCTGCCGCCGACCCTTTTGTTAGACCGCGGGGATACCTCCGGTCGACCCCCGGTCGACCCCCGCCCAAATCTGGTCGACAGATTTATATGCATCTTGCGCAAGATGTTCAAAAACGTCGTTTTTTACAGTGTTTCGTGGCCTTCGGCGGATACGACTTTCGCTTAACAGGGCGCCGGTGGTGTCGGTTATGCGTACCGCGCGGACAGGCTTAATCGACATTTCGTGGGTGTTGGGCACATAAGTTGCTTAACATATCCCCAACATAGGCCCAAGATAGCCAACATATCCCCAACATATGCCCAACATAGCCTCCAAGATGGCTCAACATAGGGCCAACATAGGCCAACATACGCCAACATAGGCCCAACATAGGCCCAACCTAGGCCGACATAGGCCTAACATAGGCCCAACCTAGGCCCAACATAGGCTCAACTTGGGCCCAAGATGAGCCCAACATAGGCCACATGGGCGCAACTTGGCCCAACCTAGGGCCAATAGCTTAACTTTGCTCAATATAGGCCCCACCAAGTCTCAAAGAAAGAGAGAGCCAGAGAGAGAGAGAGAGGACCCAGCCCTGCACATACCCAAACCCAAATAGGCCGGCGCCCGGCTGTCAGGCGTAAGCCTCATAAATCAGGTTGCCGATGGTCATTGGGACAGATTTGGTCCTCATTTGGGTATCCATCATTCCAGTTGAGAGTTTGGGTTTGGGACTACTTCTGGGACGGGATTGGTTGGATGGAGTTGGTTGCGTGTTGAGCTTTTCCAAGAAGATCATGAGGGCTGATGGCAGGACATTTTGCATTGCGATTGATCCCTTCGGAGTGGCCCAGGCCTGGTTCCTAACGTTGGCGTCGGGTTGGACAGGATGGGGTTGTTGCATTGCAGATTGCGCATCACGAGTGGTTGCAAAGAAAGCTTTTGGCAGTTCAGTTTGTTGGAAACCCTCACCACGATCCCAAGAGCCATGAGCATCTTTTGTCAGAGCATTCTGTTTGTGCAGCAAAGCTTGTAGGCATGTCGGTTGAAGCAGGTAGCAATTCGTTGGATTTGGCTCGAAGAATGGCTAGTTTGAACGCCTCACCAAATTCGACAACATCCTCTTCAAGCACACCCGATCGAGACCTCGCTCTCGGGATTGCTCATGGACGACGTGATCGACCTCGAAAATCAACCGGTGGGAAAGTGGCGCAGGTTTCTCATCCGCCTGCAAACAAGAGTCCTATGGCACGTGCGCGGCATTTGCTTATGGTTGTGTCGGCGGCCGTGGCTGCGCTATGTGCCCTTTCCGTATCCTTCAATTAGCAGCCTGATGCAGTGGCAATTGCAGGCACAAAACATGGTGGCCAATGGAGCGTTGCCCAAGGCTCATTTCCAAAGAGCCCAGACTCTCCAAAGCTTCACGGCCGCAAATTTGAAGGAGTGCATGTGGCTTCGAGACCGCCTCGGTTGGCAGGCCTCGTTTGTGGAAGATTCCATGCTTCAAGGGATGCTGGCAGTTCGCAGTTCAAAAGGAATCGCCAGCAAGATTCGCCAGCTGCAGCAGACAAGGCCAAGAAGGAAGGCAAGCAAGCCGATGCAGTTCGAGAGCTGATAGGCCCCAGGGGAGGATTGCCAAGTTTGAAGTCAGATCTCCAAAAGCCTTGCATCTCTCGTTCAGGTGGAGTACAACGAGAAGACAACAGTCGAGCAGCTCAAGGCGACCATTCGACCGGTCGTCAAGTTGATTGCAAGCAAGGATCCACCCTCGGCCAAAAGCAGTTCAGCAAGTTCACACCAGGAGCCTCCAAAGGGTTTGACAACAGCCTCAACTCGTGCTCCGGAGACCCTAGCGTTGGCCGCTCCTTCCACGCCAGGCAAGACTGCAGCCTCAAGTCCAATGCCAGGAGTGAAGTTGCAAGACATCCACGACCTCCTGGCGCAGCAGGATCAGAAGTTTCAGAGCATGTTGACTTAAGTCATGCAGGGGCATCAAGTTCCGGTGAACCTGCAGACTCAAGGAGCGATGCGCTTCGACATGGCTTAGGACGATGCCGTGATGGACGGTACAGCCCATGGTTGGAGTCAGGAGGAGATCCAAGGAGCCCTTTACACGGAGGAAGAGCTTCGTCAGTTGAATTGGCAAGTGCAGTCCGATCTCAAGCAAGAGGAGGCGGACCTTCTCAGGGGACCATTCTTTGGAAACACCTCGGGATGAACCCCTGGAGTGTGAATCAGAGTGGGAAGCCAGGCCTTGCTCAGATGATTGGTGACGCTTGGCGAAAACACTGCAAAGATCGTGAATTGATCTCCCAAAGTCATCGTGAAATTAAGCAGGTCATGACGGCAGAGTGGAACCAAAGTATGCATAAATGCTTTCAGGAGAATTTCATCATGCGGGTGGAGGTGTCTTCGAAGGGAGCTGAGGGGTCGACCAGGCGCCAAACAGTTGGGACGGTGGCTCACACCCAACGGCCTCGGGACGACCCCGCCAAAGTGAAGAAAGGTCCAGATAAAGGTTCCACTCAGCCGATTGTTGGGGAGATCTATATACAGCTACAGAGCAAGTTGCAAAACAGGCAGCATTGAGAGGATACAAAGTTGCTACATCCATGTCGCTCGAGACCGGCTGGAACTTTTTGAAGAAAGAAGACCGCAATGCATGTCTCCACAAAGTCATGCAGGAAGATCCGTTTTGCCTGGTGTTGGCTTTTCCATGTGGGCCTTGGTCTCCTTTGACAAGGTTGAGGCCCAGTGTAATATTGGAGGAGAGGCGGAAAGAAGGTCGTGTCCTTTTGAATTTTGCCCTGGTCCTTGCTCGGTTGCAATTGAAGAGGAATGCACATTTGATTTTGGAGAACCCCAAATGCTCAATGGCTTGGACGCTGCCCGAGGTCATACAATTCCTTGAGTCAGCAGCTGTTGAATGTGTTGATTTTGATCAGTGTGCATTCCAGCTCAAGAATGCATCAGGTTTTCTTCACCGCAAACCCACACGCAATGCAGTCGGAACCACATCCACCAGCCAGTTCTCGGAGGAGCCAAGATCACAAGCAGAGCTGGTCATTACCCGATTGCACTTGCTCGAGCTATTGTTCGAGGCCTTGAGAAACAGTTCCACCTCGACCATGCCAAGTGTCGTGAAGTGTTGGCTGTTGATGGGGCGGAGGAGGAAAAGCCTGAGGAGGAAGGAGGTGCAACCATGGATCCGTACGACACAGAGTCAGAGATCTCTTCAGTTGATGAGGATGGTGCACCCGAAGCCAGAGTTTCCTCAGCAGTTCGGCAAGCTGTCAAACGCTTGCATGAGAACACAGGTCACCGTTCAAACCGTCGCTTGGCAAGGGCTTTGGTTTTGTCTGGTGCCCCCAAAGAAGTGATCTTGGCGGCCAAAACGTTGAAATGCAGCTTCTGTGATGAGAAAAGGCGACCCAAAAGCCATAGGCCGACGTCGTTGCCTACGCCCAAAGATGTTTCGGATCAGGTGCACATAAACATCTTTGAGTGTTCAGATATCACAGAGCAGCGTTTTTACATTGTGCATTGCATTGACTGGACCAGCAGGTTCCAGATGGCAGAAGCTTTGGAATACAAAGACTCCGACAGCATTGTTCATTGGTTCCAAGAACGTTGGATGAGCGTGTTTGGACCTCCAAGGGTCATTGTGGCCGACCAAGGCCGCGAATTCATTTCCTGGGCATTTCAGGAGATGTGCGATCGCCACTCCATCCTGTTGCACCACATTCCCATTCAGGCGCCTTGGTGCAATGGTGTATGCGAGAGAGGTGGAGGCATCTTAAAAGGCCTTTTGGAGTGTTGTGTCAAAAGCCGCTCAGTCGCAGGGTTGTCAGATATGAAGTTGGCTCTACAAGAGTGCACTCTGGCATAGAATGCAGACATCAATGAATTGGGAGTCAGTCCAGCTCAAGCTGCTATTGGCCGACAACCCAGGATGATTGGAGATGTGTTGGGCAATTTTGGGCAGAGGCTTGCTGAACATGGTCTAATAGATGGACGCCCGTCGCTGGCGAGGCAAATTGCTTTGAGAGAAACAGCCAAAGTTGCTATGACCAGGCTTCATTTCTCCCCAGGCATTCGTAGAACCGAGCTTGCACGATCCCGGAGCTCCACCATGTCACAGCCGCTTGAACCTGGGGACATTGTTTATTTTTGGAGAGAATCCAAGTACAACTCCAAAACCGCACCTTCGAAGAAGAGGTTATCCCTGAGGAGATGGCATGGCCCGGCCCTTCTCGTGGCCCTAGAAGGTCATAATGCTGGATATGTGTCCTTCAAGGGACAGCTTTCAAAGTGCGCCAGAGAACATTTGAGGAGCGCCTCGTCGATGGAACAGATTTCTGCGAGGTCTGGCACGATGCAATACAGGATTGCATTGAAGCGGCATTGCATGATGTCAAACGACAGAGCTCCGAAGATGTTGGCCCAAACCTTCCACCACCTCCGACGCCTTCAATGGCAGTTGATCCAAGTCCCTTACCGACAGTGCCTGAACAACACGCAGAGCAAGATGATTTGCCACCTGTTGCCCCCAACAGAGTTGTTTCAAGCCCTGGATGGAGGAGGACTGGGTGTTTTAGGAGGAGGGAGTCACTTTGGGAGCGAGCTTCCAGGCAGTGGCAGTTTGAGCAGAAGAGCATCTTCCATGGAAGCTTCCAGTCGCGAGCCCTCGCGACAGATGAGTCATGCTGCACCTGGCACGCCTGTGCCCCCGTTCATCACAGGTGCTAGTCAAGCATCGCCGGTCACTCCACTAGAGAGCTTGACGAGCAGACAGGAGTGAAGAGGCCTTCGGAGGTTGAGTCAGAGCAGCCCCAAAAGATGCTGCGTGAAGATGAAGAGCATTCAGTGTTGGTGGCCACCTCAGTGATTTAGAATGTGCTCAAGACCAAGCGGGCACTTGTTTCCAGGTATGCCAAAGACACTGCAAATCAGTCCGTTCCAGATGTTGAGCAAGCGCCAAAGCAAGATGAGATTTTTGAAAATATCCTCAAGAATGCCACCATGCATCCCTTGAGAGCGATACAACTGCAAGTGGAGAAAGATAAGAAAGCAGATGGCAACCTTGCAGTTCAAGACCATGGCAGCTGGTCAGGCAAGTGGCCTTTGCCCACCCGCACATCGTGGGAGGCACATGAGATCAGTTGCACCCTTTGGCCTTGTGGAGAACACGAAGTCAATGCAGCCAAGACAACTCGTCGTGAAGTGAAATGGAAGGACATCCCCATGCATGAGCGAGCTAAATACCGGAAAGCAGCTGAAACCGGTTGGAAAGTTCAGGTGGACAATGGTGCTTTTGAGATTCTTTCAGATGAGGAGTCCGAGCGCATCAAGGCAAAGCTGCGAGCATCCGGTCAGTTGCACAAGATCCTCACACCTCGGTACATCTATACCGACAAGCACGATGGTCTCAGGTCAGACAGCAACCCGTTGCCCTTGTTGGCCAATGCACGTGTGGTCATTCCAGGGTATAAAGATGAAACAACATACAGTGTCCGCAAAGATGCACCCACAAGTTCTCGCAATTCGCAACACATGTTGTTCATTGTTGCAGCAGCTTGCAAGTGGTGTTTGTGGTCAGCTGATGTGAAGTCCGCCTTTTTGAAAGGCGAACATTTCCAAGAAGGTGAGCGTGAGCTGTACATTTGCAACATTCGTTGCACCTCTGTTGACGAGCCGATGCTTCCTTTCAGTGCTGGCGGCTTAGCCCGTGTGCGAAAAGGAGTTTTTGGATTAGCAGACAGCCCGAGACGATGGTATCTCCGGTTGAACAAGTCACTTCTTCGCTTGGGATGGCGTCGCAGTGACATGGATGCAGCTCAGTGGTTTCTTTTATGGAGCCGATGGCTCCCTACAAGGCATTGTGGTCAGCCACGTCGACGACCTTTTGATGGGAGGCACAGACCTAGCTGGCAAGTCCCTCAGAGCCCTAGGTGATGAGCTTGGGTTCGGATCGCTGGAGACAGGTTGTTTTACGTATTGCGGCAAACAAATCAAGCAGAATGCTGACGTGACCATTGAGGTCAATATGCAGGCCTTCCATGAGAACGTTCAGCCCATTGCTGTCCCTGTTCACCGCAAGAAGCAATTTGAAGCAGCACTCACACCTGCCGAGCATCGCCAGTTGAGAGCCATACTGGGAAGCTTACAATGGTTGGTGACTCAAGTGAGGTGGGACATGGGATTCCACCTTAGTGTGTTGCAAGGCGAACCTCCAGTTGTCAAGACATTGCTCAAAGCGAATGCCCTGGCCCGTTTGATGAAACAGGATGCTGGATTCAAGCTTCGCTTTGGTCAGATGGACCTACAAGGTGCTGGCATTTTGGTGGTGACAGATGCTTCATTAGGCAATGTCACGAGAGCCAGTGGAGCAGATGGTCCATTGTACACCAAGGTGTTCAATCAGGCCGCTTACCTTGTGTTGGTTGCAGAACGCAACCTCATGAGTGGCAAGCAAGGACGATTCGGAGTGTTGGATGCCCGCAGTCACAGACTCACAAGGGTGTGCCGCTCGACATACGGCGCCGAATTGTTGGGATTAAAGGAATCTCTGGACATTGGGTTCTTCTCCCGAGGATTGCTTGCTGAGGTTCAAGGCTTTAGTGTCTTGAAGGGGGACGAGCAGTACAACAGCTTCATTCCTTTGGGGCTGGTCACAGATGCAAAAGATGTATACGACAAGAACACATCAGATATGCCAACCTACGGAAGCCAGAAATCATTGGCTTTTACAGTGGCTTGGATGCGTGAAGTCCTTCGCAAAGACAAGACGCAGATCCACTGGACTTTGACCGAAAATATGCTGATAGATTGCGGTACAAAAGAGATGAAGTCAAACCATCTCAAAGCAGTGCTGCACCAAGGCACATGGAGCATTACATACAACCCTCGGTTTGTCAAGCAAACCACAAAGCCTTTGAAGGCTGCTGCTCCAAAGGGACTTTCTCTCCCCGGTCGACTCCTGAGCGCTGATGACCCCATGTTGAGCCATTTGATGCGGCTCGCTGAGAGACCCGGCTGGCACTTTCAAGACCCACACGGAATCCACGTGTGTAGGAACGCAAGATCCTTTCGCGGTCCGGCTCCGAGATTCAATGCTGAATCATTTCCCCTCCGAACGACATATGCTCGATTCGACACCGACCACCAAGCTGAGTGGAGAATCTTGGAGAAGGATGTGAGAGGTGGCAAGTTGGACATGATCGGCGAGACCGCCGATGTCCTGGTGACGCTTTTCGGGCCAGATCCAAACCCCAAAATCAACAAAGAAATGGATCAACTGAAGAAGATTGCTTGAGTTTGGGTTTGTTCCGGATTGTGTTTCGCCCGCGGCCTTTTTACCTTACAGGCCTTAAGCCATTTGATGTCGCTACGCATTTTGAGCGGAAAGAGTGCCTTTTGAGCTTTCACAATATTTAAGGAATTAAAACGTTGTTCTCGATATTATAAGGCCGAATAGATCTTATTTGATATTAGAAAATTTATGGTACTATTTTTAACATCTAATAGATAGAGGAGGTAAAAAATAGTTTATGACAGATTTTTTATGGTAATTATTAAAAATAATTTAATATCGATTATTTATGGCTTAAAATCGGATAAATATATGTTAAATTATTTGGAGGATTAAAAAACCGAATATATTTAATATTGTAAGGCTTAAGGACGGGTAAATTTTGAATTTTAAAAAATAGAAATCTAAATAAAGGGGTTTAAAATTACGAAAGGTAGTCTTTTATTGGATATCTTGAGTTTTTTTGCGAAGCAAATGTTGGGACGTCCGGGTTTAATAATTGAGCATTCAATTCAAATCGCCTCCCTTCGCCCTCGAATTGATTTCTCAATACAGACCCCCCGCCCCCTTGGAATTGATTTTTTACAATATAGACCCCCCTCCCTAAATTCAATTCTCTCTTGGAGAACGTCTTCGTGAGCCTCTCATGATTTTAGAATAATTGAAATCTTTTTGAAGATTCAGAAAGAATGCATATGAAATTTTAATTACGAAAGGTATTTTCCGAGGGGATATATACCTAGAATTTGTTTTGTGAAGCATATTAATTCTCTCCTGGGGAACGTCTTCGTGAGCCTCTTATGGTTTAGTATAATTAAAATCCTTTTTCCTGATTCCTTTTCGGTTATTCTTTCCATGAGTGTCTGCCCGGTCAACTGTTGCTCAAGTTCTTGTCGTGATTAGTTCCTCGTGTGATTTGATGGGCGATCTCGGCGTTTTGTACCTGCAGTTGGCCAATACCATTTCCCAGCTCCTTTGGGTTCGACCTGAGATTCCCCACGCGTATGATTGCAATTGTGGGGTTAGCATTGGAGTTGAGGCGTGCTCCTTCTTGGTCAAAGAGGTACTATCCCATTGCGTTGAGACCTCCATCACCACGCACACAACATCCACCACTCCTAGCGGGCGGATTCCTTGGAATTTCAGTTGGCTTTGGTTGATTATCCTGATCTTTTTAGCCGGTTGTGCGACTGGCCGTGCCATTCACATTGTGCGGAGACCACGTCGGACTCCGCCACCAGTTCCTGCACCGATTGCAGACTCACCTGGGTCGCGAAGTAACTCAAGTGTTCGGCCTCGACGGGGCCAGGCTGCTTAGGGGGACTGATGGCTAGAATGAACAGGACATTGGACATTCCGAGTGGATCGTTCGGTTTGGATCATTTCAACTCCTGATCTCGATGTCTATGAGGAAGATTACGATGGTGTCACAGTCATCCCGCTGAGTAGGAACAGTGACTACCCTCAGGCCTATGCAGGTCAGATGTATGTGCCTCGAAATGCTGATTTGCTGGCGTCAATGGCAGATTTGCGTAGATAAGCTGATATGTTGGCACTTGTACGAGGTTGCAGTGACAGACCCGGGGTTGTGGGTGTTGCTGGGGCTCAGCCCAGTGGTCATTGGCGAATTGCCGATATTGATTCAAAGCTCTTCGGAGACATCGTGCCTGAAATTGATCTCACTGATGCTACCAAGAATGTTCTTCTGCAATTTGGTGATTTTCGGAAGCGGCTGCATGTCAAAGACGGCCAGATTTTCAGCTTGGAATTTGTTTCTGATTTTGACAGTTGGAGCAATGCCAAGCGACCGGGATTGCCAGGCGGTGATGCTGGAGATTTGAGGCTGTTAGGATGCTCAAAGCTAGCTTCTGGAAAAAGGCAGATATCTTTGGAAAAGGCTTTGGAGAGCATGTCAGATCAGAAGTTTGACGATTGGCCACATAGAGGGCCGAAGGCGACAAAGGAATTCCTCGAAAGTGTGCTCCAGAACGGTGGAGACCTCATGACATACCACAGTTCTTTCATGCGTAAGTCAGGGTTGTCTGACAACAGTGCTGCCTCTCATGAATACAAGAATTTGCTGAATATCCTTCGCCTTGCCATCAGTTATGACCAGGTTGATGTCAGCAACTTGGCGTGCATCGAGCAGACAGTGCGCCGAGTCTTGGAGATTCAGATTGCTGTCCGAAGGAACCCCAAGCATCCGACTTTTGATGCCTTCGATTACAACCTTCGTGGAACAGTTGATGAGGTAGGTGGTGCCAGGGCATTTAGCTATGCAGAGTGGGTCGCAGAACAACAGAAAGTTGAGGCCAAGACTCTCAAGAGCACTCGTGAATGGAGAGAGGAGCAGGCGGCCGATCGCAGACGTGCCGGTCGTGCGGCCGAGAAGGATGACTCTGAGGAAGATGATCATGGCGGAGATGGCGGGAAGAAGAAGAAGAAGAAGAACAAGAAGACGGGCGCCCCTGGTGGCGCCCCAGCTTCATGAGTCCGCCGTCTTGTCGCCAAGGTAAGGGCGACGCATCAAATTCTCGCCTCTGCATGCTTTCGAATTCAAAGTAAGGTGGGAGAGTTGCTTCCGAAACTTTCCCGCTTCCAGTGCCTTCCTGGCGTTCGAGGCGGGTTCGATCTTCCACCTTCCTCACTCGCATTGGTGATGGTGATACTCAGCCGAGTCTGTCAAGTCTTTGAACTCACTGGGTGGAGCTTCAACTAGTCATGTCAGAAGAGGGAATTTTCTTTTAGATGGGCATCAACCTAGCGGCAAGCCGTCCAATCTTCAGTCATCGGTTCTGCAGAAACTCTCTGATCATGTTAAGGAGTTTGGATCTTGCCCAGCTGGTATGACACCAAAGTCGTGCTTTGAGCAGGTGATCAAGTCAAAAGATATGATGTACTCGCTCTCCCAATGCAACGTAGCACCCTACGACCCTGACCTTCTGAAGGTCACGAAAACTGCGACTGTGCCGAAACCTGCCACTCAGTTGTTGCCTGCCATGGAAGCCAGCTGGCTTGAGGAACCAGACCAACACATCGTTCGTTCGGCAGAAGAGATCGCTCAGTGGGCCGCTGCCAATGGGGATTTCCATCCATATTGGGACGAAACTCTCAGGACTGACCGCATGGCCCGACATGACCTTTATCGCAAGCTTTGTAATAAGTCACTAATTGGGTTTAGGAAGCGCATCCGCGCCAAAGTTGGTCTTTTCTTCGTTTGGAAGTCCAGTCGGAAGGGCATCCGTTTGATCGTCGATGCACGTATGCCTAACGCCTGCCACAAACGCCCCCCAAAGACCAAATTAGGAGGTGCCAGTGCCATTGCAGATGTTGATGCATTCGCTGATGAAGATGACCTGGCCTTGTTAAATGAGGGGTATGGTGGGCCTGTTGAGCTTCCTTGCAAGATGTTTGGCGACACTGGCGATGTGAGTGATGCCTTTTACCAATTCAGTGTGGCAGGGCTTGCGGATTGGTTCGGGTTGGATGATCCTGTGCGAGCAGCAGACTTTGAGGTGACATCGGTTTGGGACCCGGATAGCGGTTGTCAAGTTGATGTTGACCCAGATGAGATGTTGTTCCCGGTCTTCCTTGGCATGCCGCAGGGGTGGGTTTGGGCCTTGCACTTTTGTAACACAGCTGTTGAGTATGGCATGTCGAAAGCCATTCCAGCCACGCAGTTTGTGAAGGAAGGCATGCCCCCACCGGATCCTAGATGTGGCCCCATAAGTAGCGTGTATGTTGACAACATCGGAGTCTTTGGATTTGTTGAGAAGGTTGTCGACCATTCCTTCGATCAGTCCGTAGCTAACCTTGAGCGAGCTGGCTTTGTTTTGCATGAACTTAACAAGGGTAATGTTGAAGTTGTCAACGTTGGAATCGTGCTGTATCAAAACACGTTGAAGATTCGCCACATCAAGAATAGAGCTTGGCGGTTGTACCTTGCCATCAAACATGTGCTTCGTATGCGGTCAATCACGTACGAAGCCATGAGGATATTGATTGGCCACATTGTGCATTATTTCTCTTTGCCCAGACCATCCCTTAGCAGCTTGCATCATATCTACCGGTTTGTGTACCGGTGGTTAGATGGGAAGGCTCATGTCATCCCAGGAGCAGTCAAGAGGGAACTCAGGGTCATAATGGGAATCTTGTCATCCCACGATCCCCCCCTTTAACCTATGGGATATGTGGAAGATAGATTTGGCAGTGCGCACTTTTTGCATGAGTTTCATCATTGGCACAGCTGGTGTGCCTCGATGGGTGCTGGCTTTCAATAGGCCGTCGCCTGATTTAGCAGCTTCGAGCTTGGCCCTTTTGAGAAAAAGAGGCTGGCTGATGAGCCATACTGGTGTGGCGATCCATCATTTTGAATGGGATGAGAGATAGAGTCTGGGCAGATGAATAGCAATAATGGGAACAAATAATATTCCGATTCAAACCGATGATTTGATTTATGGGGCAAATTTATTTTCCTAAGAATCTTTTTAAATATTTCGAGAATATATATTTGAATATTTAGAGTGCATATAAATATATATTTACGATTTACGAAAGGTCGATTCCGGTTGGATAAAATATCATGTCGAACATTATATTTTTATTCTTGCCTCTCATATTCTCTTCTCTTCCCGTTATCATATCTTTCGCATCTCCCTCCTTTCAAATAATTTATGGTCGACAAGGATTAAAATAGATTCTAAAAATAATTCCTAAAAAAATATATTGCAAGACCGATTTATTGGACAATATTCCACCTTGCACCGCTCCGCTTAGGCAATAATTAGGCTGGCGGACTAATCCGAAAAATCTAGCAATTTTTTGATTTTTAGCAAATATATATGTTTCAATTGATAATTTTAGATTTAATTTAAATATAATATGTATGTATTATTTATATATATATTTATAATAATAATATATTCTTTAATAATAATATAGTATTAAAATATAATATTATAATTCTTTCCAATAATTATTAGTTTATTTAGAATAGTTATTTCAATAAATATATTAATTAAATATAATAATATATTTTAAATATTTATATTAAAATTATATTTATATTAATTAGATGCTTATATATCTTGTAAAATAAAAAAATATTATCAATTCATTCAAAACCATATTTTAAAAATTATTAATAATATAAAGAATTATATAGCATTAATATCTTTTTTAAAAAAATAACTATATATTTTTCAAACAATTTTAATAATTTTTCTTCAATAAATATTCAATAATCTTCTATATATTCAATTTAATTAATTTATTACTATTATTCATTTCCGGCAGAAGTAGCTCTGCCCGTATTGGGCATCGATCCAAAGATCGGCTGCGTCTTGCGCATCTAATGCCCCGGGCGGCATCGAATCATAGCACTTGGCTTGTCGGAAAAGGCACAAACGGGTTGCAACGGAGCAAAGATTTCCAGGCACTCGTGAGATGGTCACTGTCAATAAGCCAAAGGAGGTACAGGTCCTGTTCCAAATCAGGTATGTGGGCACAACGAAATGCTCTGCTCCAATCATCGGTCAAAAACCTATTCCCGCCAGTGCGGAGGCAGGCCTGGTAGTGGCCAGTGTGGGGTTCATTGCCTCGGTGAACCACGATAGAAATTATCTCAAAATGTTTCCATCGAATTGTCCAGTTGTGCTCGATCATGAAACATGGCAAATGAACTGTGACTCTGTTCCGTCGAAATGGCTGGGCTGTCTTGACTCCTAGGGTTGGGAACCGATTCATTTGCAAGCAAACGGTCGTGATTGAGTCTAAAAAAATCACAATGAAACAGAACCTGTTCATGCCAAAGATTGATTAGGTCCTGAAGAGTGCAGTCGACATCTTTCGTCTGCTGGAGGAGGACAGGTGCAAAAAGAGAATCAACGTCCTCAGTGGTGGCTTCCAGCCTTGCTTCCCATTTGAAAACGGGTTTTCCGCTTTCCTTTGAAGCCCCATGCATGGCATAGCGAAGCACTCCAACGAACTCAGCAGAGTCCTGTTGCTTCTCCATTTCATGGCTCGTGTGCCATGACTTCAAAAATTGATCCAAACAATGTTCATCTTGCAATATCTGATGTGTGTTGGAGTTGGCAAGCAGTCGAATCAGCGGTTCCTTCCAGGGGCCCACTTCAGGCCAGGCAAACGTGTCATCCATGCAGCAAGCCCATAGCTCGGCTAGCAAGGCCGAATTCATATAGCATGCATTGCTGACATTGCCCAAGGAAAGGGCCAGGATGGCCTGCCTCATCTCGTCAAGCGAGCTGCAATGGCCTGAGGCAATGGTGACCTTTGCAATGTCGATGGTCGGATTCGAACGAAGATCAGCTGCGTAAGCCCGCTGCCTGTCAATTTCTGTAGGGACTCATACAGGTCCTGGGCAGTCGGGCCCCTCAATGAGATGTCCAGGCGCCAAGGCACCACCACCGAGTCCGTGATTGTCGAATCCTGAGGCATGGGTTTCAGGGCTGAGAACCTGTGGAGCAAGTCTGCCTGAGCCGTCAAAGTATGAATCTTCTGGATCAAAGCGGCGGCTTCCTCTGATGGAAGGGGGTTGCGGGCTGCAGGCTTCAGAGTCTTCTCCTTGGAATCCCAATGAAGATGTTCCAGGAGTTGGTTGCCGTCAATATCTGTTTGCTCTGAAGGCTCGAATCAATTCGTAATCGCTTGATCCGAAGGGTAGTTTCGAAGCTCGAAAGGCCAATTCCTGGAATACTGCTCTGAACATGTGTTGCCTCAAGGATGTCGTGATTTGGTCTGATTCCCTCTGCCCATGCCAGTCCTTGGAAATCTTCAGCATCTGCGGCAATATGTTACCTTTTCCTGCCTGCATGAAGAAAATGAAGCTCTTGTCGAGGTGAAGCTGGTTGAGTTAATCCTCCTAGCGCAGGGTCAGCCTGGCTATCACGGAAATCAAGCTTCCACCGTCTCCCAAGTCCGAATCCGATGAGCGCGAGGGCTTCCGTTGCCCCCTACGTGTAGGCCGTCGGTCGGATGGGTATTCCTCCTCCTCGGTTCTAGGCCTCTTTGCAAAGTGATTCCCACAAAGATCCATCAGGTGTGCAAAAGATTGATCGTCTCCGCTCATACGTTCCATCACTGACGTCAAGTGCTAGACACCGGAGGAACCAGTCTTGGGCCAGTACGTGTTCTAGTTCAAACAGCAGTTGTTGAAAATGAAAGTGCTGAATCCAAGTTGTTGAATGAAAATCGATTGCAATGTGTTGTAGCAAGGCCTATTCGATTGAGTCCCAAGCCCAGTGGCAGGGAAATACCTGCTAGCAAAAATCCAGAAGGCGGAGATATAATATAACCTCGAAATCAATGTGGTGAAAATATATATAGATTGGCCATCCAGGTGGTAAATGCTTAATACCAACTCAATAAAAGGAACAGGCCGAAGCAAGGCGGCATCAATGTGCATAAAAGACGGTGTGATCAAAGACTGAATCATGTCTATGGGGGTATTCTGGCGTGTCTGCTGCTATGCACAATGCATTAATCATCCGGACAATCCTTCCCGATGCGGATATAGAAGGTTGACCTGCAGAGGTCCGATCTGCTGTCTCTAAAGCCTCCGTACTATTAATTATAAACCCATTCAATCAACAAAATAGGACAATTGCCTTTTTAATAATACCATCGAAATATAGCCTCAATCGCATAAATCGTATAACAATATGCGCAAGCCAAGCCCTTATGCTCTCGAATCAACTATCCAATCAAAGCCTCGCGTCCTACGATAGAAACGTCTTCAAAGGAACTTCAATTTATTATAAAGGTTTGTTCGGCATAAGCTAGACCGTATCTGCTCTCGGAATTTTAGCGGCACAAGTAATCTATCCATCAACCTACATTTCATATTTATATATAGTCATATATTTGTCTTGGCCGATAGCTATCAAAAAACGAATTTAACAATGAAAACATACAAACAAAGCAAATAATTAAAAACTTACATAATCAATTACCATTAACTATGCATCCGTTCGATCAAGCCTCGACTATCAAAGCATTCATTAACGATAAAATTAAGCAAAAATTAAATACTTCTATAGAGGTTTTCTGCATAACCGACATAATAAAAAAAGGGTCACCTATTTTTCCAACCCCCCGACCCTATTTTTCCAACCTCCACCTATTTTTTCAACCCCCCGCCCTCTTTTTAACCCCCTAACCTATTTTTTCAACACCTCAACCTATTTATGCAACCCCTCAACCTCTTTTTTCAACCTCTAAACATTTTTTGGCCTACGCAAGCGGAGCCAATGCCCGCAAAACGTTCCTGAACCTCTTTTTTCAACATCTGAACATTTTTTCGCCTACATGTCCAAAGCCCAACCAAGACGCAAGATAACACCCGCTAGATAACATGTCCACAGCCTCACCGGAGCCAACCTAAAAAAGCGGGTGGGGGGGGGCGCAGCGCCTCACCCCGCGAAGCGTCACCGGAAAGCTTCTCAGACGCAAGATAACACCCGCTAGATAGCATGTCCACAGCCGAGCCGGGGCCAACCTAAAACAGCGGGTGGGGGTTGCAGGGGGGAGGGCGCAGCTGAAGGGTGCAGGGGGGGAGGGCGCAGCGTCTCCCACCGCGAAGGAAGCGTTCACACAAGCCGGGTCACCGGAAAGCTTCCCAGACGCAAGATAACACTCGCTAGATAACATGTCCACAGCCTAACGGGAGCCAACCTATAAAAGCGGGTGGGGGGTGCAGGGGGGAGGGCGCAGCGCCTCCCCCTGCGAAGCCTAGCCGGAGCGAACATGTCCAACGCCTCGCCCCGCGAAGCGTCACCGGAAAGCTTCTGCCCCCGCGAAGCGGCACTGGAAAGCTTCCAAAACACAAGATAACACCCGCTACATAATCTGTCCACAGCCTCACCGGAGCCAACCTAAAAAAGCGGGTGGGGGGTGCAGGGGGGAAGCCTCCCCCCGCGAAGCGTCATCGGAAAACTTCCAAGACGCAAGATACCACCCGCTAGATAGCATGTCCACAACCTCACGGGAGCCAACCTATAAAAGCGGGTCGGGGATGCAGGGGGGAGCAGCACCTCCCCCCGCGAAGCGTTCACAGAAGCCGGGTCACCGGAAAGCTTCCCAGACGCAAAAGAAAACCTGCTAAATAACATGTCCACAGCCCAACCGGAGCCAACCTATAAAAGCGGGTGGGGGGTGCAGGGGGGGAGGGCGAGCCCCCCCCCCCCCGCGAAGCGTCACCGGAAAGCTTCTCCCCCCGCGAAGGGTCACCGGAAAGCTTCCCAGACGCAAGATAACATCCGCAACATAATCTGTCCACAGCCTAACCCCTGAAACAACGGGTGGGGGGGTACAGGGGGGAGGGCGCAACGCCTCCTTTGCGAAGCGTTCACACAAGCCGGGTCACCGGATAGCTTCCCAAACGCGAAGCGTTCCCACAAACCGGGTCACCGGAAAGTTTCCCAGACGCAAGATAACACCCGCTAAATAACATGTCCACAGCCTAGCCGGAGCCAACCTAAAAAAGCGAATGGGGGGTACAGGGGGGCGCAGCGCCTCCCCCGCGAAGCGTTCGCACAAGCCGGGTCACCGGAAAGCTCCCCAAACGCAAGATAAGACCCGTTGTAAATAATATGTCCACAACCGAACGGAAGCCAACCTATAAAAGCGGGTAGGGAAGCGCTACGTCATCGGAAAACTTCCCAGAAGCGGGTACGGCCTCCGCGAAGCGTTCACAGAAGCCGGGTCACCGCAAAACTTCCCAAACGCAAGATAAAACCCGGCGTTCATAGAAGCCGAATCACCGAAAAGCTTCCCAGACGCAAAAGCAAACCCGCTAAATAACATGTCCACAACCAACCTAACCGCCGCGTCAACCCAAACTCTACCAAGACGCACGATCAAATGTCTACATAAAAACGCTTCGCGAGGGGAGGCGTCGTTAAAAAAAAAGATCAGAGGGTTAAAAAAAAAAAAAAATCGGGTATAAAAAAAAACACACAAATTAGTTAGAGGAGTTAAAGAAAAAAAAAACGGGGGGTTAGAAAAATATAGTCTAAGAGGTTACAAAAATAAGTTTTCAACGGCGATTCGAAAAATAAAACGGAGGAATTAAAAAAAAAAAAAAAAATAAAAAATATAGGAGAATTAGAAAAATAGGATAAAAAAATTAAAACAATAAGTAGCCCTATTAAAAAAAAAATTAAATTAAAATATTTAATCCATCATAATCGAAATTTAAAATAAAACCCCATATTCATAAAATATAGAAAAAAATCTATTATAATTAATAATAAATACGACAAAAAATACCAAAATATATAAATCCAAAAAAGGGTATCGATTAAAATATTCGTAAATATTCCCTCGCAAGCCACACATTTACAATATATTCGTTTTCAATATAGAAGATTCATTTAGACTCATTTAACAATGGTATAATAGCCCTAATTATACAATCCACTTAGCTTAAAAATTGCTCCTATTAACAAGCACCTTAGATTCCAATACGCTAATCTAAACAATCTTAATAGGTATTAGGGGTATCGGCGATATCGCTACTAGATCGGTTGCCAAGGATTTCTTTACCTTTCAAAAGCACAAGGCGGCCTCTTTACATATTTAATACTCCAATAAATTTGTCGGATGCTCATATTTGTTGTATTATTTTTTGATTGATTTATTTATTCATTGGTTTTGCCTAATATCCATCAAGTTCGAATATTATGTATATATCAAAGAACAATCATCGGAACATATCGGAACCTTCGATTCAAACCATTTCAAACCGAGCTCGTTGCTTCTCTCCTCATGCGCCAAGGCTTTGGACCTTAGGAGCACCCAATAATCGCCAATTTTGCGAGGTTGGGAAATATATGGAGATGTGGTCCGCGGAGATGATGAATGACAGGACACTACCTAAAATGTCTTGAGGTTTCGATATTTTCAGCAGCTTTATTCGTGAATTCCCAAGGATTCATAGCCTTCTAAGCCACCCCGATTCTGGCCACCCCGATGTTCAGTGGAAATAGGAATAGGGCTGAAACAGGTACGAAATAGATATGAAATAAGCTACTCCCAGGGAAATAGACATGAAATAAGAAATAAGGCGGTTTTTGCGTTAATGACGCTCTAATTCCTTCAAGACAAGCGCAAAGGAAATAGAAGAGCAGTAAGCTAATTCTCAACTATCTCCAAACGGACATAGAGGAACACATGCTTTGTGTTTAAGACCGGACATGAGATTTCCACAATTAATTGCACAAAACGTGTCTTGGAAAGCAGGCCTCTAATGACGGCGTAGAGGAATTAGGCCTGCTTCAGGATTACCATATTATTGCGGACGCCCGCGGGCTTTCAGGTATGAATGGTTATTTGTTTGCCTTGGATGCATGCTGCCGTTCTGTCCAAGGGAAGACCCTGGAAATTTTCTGATTGATTAGGTGGGAGCGTTAGACGAAATCAAACACGGAACAAACATGAAAAAATACGGTAGCAAGAGCACAACAATCAGAAAGGACATAGATCGAACATAGTACAAAAATAGCGTGTGGTTCCACAGAATTACGACAACAATCGTGGAACAACAACACGGACACACAAACAAAACATGTTTTTGACCTTACAGCATAGTGCGGGCTTGACAAGATTGCTGTGGAAACATCTATTATGTTGAGAAAGAGTTGTCAAAGAACTGCTTGGTGAATATCGGTGGGGTATCCATGACAGTTTTCTCCTCCAAGAAGCGGCAATGTGAATGGGCAACTTCAGAAGTAGTTGGAATTTTCATAAGGTCAACCACGAACAAAAAGAGAATGGAGACCTGGCATTGCATGAGAAAGAAACACCCCAATGGCGCAACAAATTGTAGCCTGGAATCAGGGTCAAAGAGATGCAGAATAAAGCAAAAATCAAACGCAAAGTCAATCGACTTGGCTCTCACACCAAACGATTTGCACTTCACTGGTCATCTCTGTGGCAGTGTTCACCCTGGCTTGCAACTACAGGACAAACGTGGATCGCCATTCTGGCCTCTGAAGGCCTGGCGCAGATGCTTCTGGCGCTCATGGCGATTGAGCAGATCACCCTGCAGCATTCCCATTGCAGCAATCAGTTGGATGAGCACGGCACATCCATAAGCAGCTGTCCAAGAGTTCAAATGACTTTGACACTCAAAGCTCCAATGAGGGAGGCTGGTTTCATGGAGGAAGGGAACACGGGGCCCACAAAATGTTGAAGTACACCCTCATCTGCCAAGATATGCCAGCCCCACAGATTCTTGCACTACGCTTCCATCGTTCCCACACGTTGCAAACACCCCGGCACCGTGCATAGATCCCGAAAACACCTTGAACTGGCGAGGCACTGAATGGTGATGCTTTCCAGAATCTCCCCACCTGGCGGAATGGCTCTGCCAATCCCAAAAAACACTGCGCAAGGTCGGTCCAAATCATCGGTCTCCATCTCCATTCCATCACACATCACGCAACGCACTCGAATTCTCCAAAATGAATCAACCACAACTCTCTTTCTTTCGGACTTACTCACAGGACTTGTCCAGGTCGGTCTTCCAAGGACTGCGCACAGCGGCCCGCCTCGAAGCAAGTACCGCTCCAGGGGGCCAAGCCAGGGCTCCTAGTGGGTCGCTCATTGCTCGTTGGGGCGAGTCATTCGGATGAACTTGCTGAACCACACTCATTGGAATGATCGTGGGAGTGGAAACACCACCTGTTTGTATAGAGGAAAAGTGCCATCATGCCATTCAGTTCCATGTCGTCCGCGTCCACGATGATTCCAGGGAGTGTAAATGGTTGAACCATGCAGAAAGTAACCACTGAAAGCCCCCAAACCAGCTCAGTTGACCCGGTTTTGCTCGCAACCAGTGTTTCATTTTGGACTCTTGGACATCTTGAAGCCACTTGTCTGGCTTCAGATTTTGCCGTAGTCCACGTTGTATACACAAGTTCCTGTGGCTGGGAAAACACACACACACACACACTTGAGAAGAAGAAGCTCGTAAACCGCGCCTAGAGTGGTACCTTTGAGGTGGAACTCTTTACGGTCTAGGTGCTGCAATCCCCCGTCTAGGTACTGGGCAACGCCGGGCACCACTTGATGTCAGCGAGAAGGTCCCCTGCAAACGGGGACCTTCACACACACACATCTAATAGGGGGAATGCTATTATCCCCAAGAATGTGTTGGTTCTCCATGGTCAATCAGCAAACAACTATCCCTGCAATCCGCAAAACAACAACCATAAGCTGCCAGAGTCGCACAAAGCAGGAAACTAAAGTAGAACATCCCGTCATCTGCCGGTCCTCGGTCATCCTCGCTTGCGGCCTTCCTGGCAAAAACAGACACGACGGAATAGGTTTAGCTTGTGAAACAATGAGTCCTTGTCAAGCACAATAAATCATTTGTGATGTCCCACTTCCTTGTGGCTGTAGCTACCAAAGGAAACCTGCTACCGTTCTTTTCTTTCGGTCCCGAACTCATCTGAAAACCCGATTTTAATTCACCCCGACCTACAAGGGAGGTAAGCCGCAGAGCAATTTGCCCTTGGTTCCAACCTTTAGGACTTTTGGATCCTTTGGGTCTTTGGGTACTGGGTGTATCTCCCGTCTCCTCAAATCTGCGGCGATGCCGAAACGTAGCATCATCGGCATAGATCCCAACCACCTACCACTTACATCATTGGCACTTACATCACTTACATCACCTAGAGCCGCCTTCTGCCCACTCTGCACCAAACCCACCAACACCGTCCGACCTGGACGCACCGGTGACGGTGACAACGACGACGAGGGCGTGGAAGAGGAGGGCGTCACCGACCTGGTCCGAGGCGCGGTCGGTCCGGTCCGGTCGACGCCGAACTTGACCAACTTGATAGTAAGCCCAGTCACCTATAGAAAATGATCATATGTGATCATTTTTTAATCTAGTGCAGTACGTTTTTGGCCCCCCGCAAAAAATAGAAACAAGGCCTACATCCATGTTATTGGCTCCCTCCCCTCTACATCCTATTCAAGTTGAACTTCCACAAGAAGGAGATAAAATAAACGCCCATGTCCAGGTGGACAGCATCCACTGAAGCATCCACAGTTTCTGTGGGAAAGATTTCACTTCAGAGGCTTAAACTACCTTTCAGAGTCATAGTATTGAGTTCGTTGTGCCCCCATGCAGTAATATATGCCAAAGCCAAAGCCCATATACTGCAGGTTAACTGGGATGACTATTGTTGGACTGTAGGGGGGAGCAGCCGAATCTAAACTGAAACTATGTTATTGCTTGATTTCTTCAAGAATCCTAAGGAGCTCCCACTCTCCCCCATGTCCATTCCACTCTCCAAGAGCTGCGATTTCACTCCCCAAACATCATCGCTCCATGCCTGGTCTCCTTCTCTGCTAGGAGCGGGATTGAGACCTGCAGCAATGCAGTGGTGGTGCTTTCAATCCAGCCTTCACTGCGTACATCTGCTTACCCCAATATATGGGGGTCATGTTTGGGACACAACATCAAAGTCAAAGCCGCGCAAGGCCTGTATTGTCAACACCGGATTAATCAACCCACAAGCTCAACAAGGTTTGAGATTGGAGGTATCGGAGACCAGATCCCCTTAATAAATGTGATGACCTGATGATGGATGAATTAATGGTTAATGGAATTTGGTGTGAAGCACGGGAGTTTGAACCATGAGAATCATGGATGACAGGATCAGCATGGGAAAAGGGTTGATCAGAATGCTATATCTCAAAGAGATGGCATGAGAATGAGGGACGATCAAAGATCTGTTTCACCATGGACCACCTGAAAAGAAACTAATAATAATTCACAATAACTCTATATATGTTTAAAATGAACGGGCTCGAGCTGGGCTTGATTGAATAGTGGGAGGTTTCGTGCTTTCGCAACTTCAAAAGGCTAGTTTAGTGGAGTCATGTCACTCCATGTGTCCTTCAAAACCTCAATCCCCCCCGGCCTTTCACATCAAAAAGACCACTTCGCACCTGCGCCCTTTGGTTTTCTCCACCCAAGCGCGCCCCATGTCCCACGCAGATCCGCTCGAGCAGATCCGCGCCAAGGCGCAGTCTCCATGTGTGTGATGCGAGGGACTTCGAGCTGCGGGGCATCCTGGGGTGGGTAGAACCGGTGTTCTCTCGACATCAGCGGTGTTCCGTGTGTTTTGAGGAAGACTGAGCTGAGAGCCTGAGAGCTGAGTATACACACAAACATGACAGAATCATACAGAATCTATGTGGTTGATTGTGGTTGAAACATTGAACAAACGCTCTCAAATGATGCAATTGCAGACTGGGTCGAAGCGACCTAAATGCCTTGATGCTTTCTACTCGACTCATACCTTCTATAGCCTTGTACAGTCCTCTAGTGTTCTCAAAGGAAATACATAAATCATAATCAATCAGAAAGGCTTTCGGATACAGCCCGCAACTAGTGGTGCTGCAATGATTCCCCAGGTCGCAGGTCCATCCCCCAGCTGTGAGCTCCTGTCGCTCGGGTGGCGCCTGGAGGGGTAGATCGTGAGCTGCCAAAGGAAGGTAGCATGTCAGTTGGCACACGGCAATCACCAGGAGTCTTTGAGGAATTTCAATCCTCCTGTGAAGATGGGTGACTGGGAAACACTCGCCCTCGCCAATCAAATAGCAACTATGACATACGTAGTGAATGGGTGAGGTTTCGTGGTGATTGTTGGTTATAGTTTTTGTGGAATGCTACGAACATCGACGACACTCCAAGCACAGGAAGGTGGAGCGACACACCTGCAGCAAGTTTTCGTACATGATCTTGTGGGTTGAACTGCCCAAGGGAGAACTGCGAAAGGGAGGAGTTGAAGATCCGGTAGCACTCCGACGAACACATGGAAGTGGATGGCACCCCCCGCTTGTAAAGGAAAGTAGTCTTCCAAGGTACCATGCCATCCACTTCCATGTTAGTGAGTCAGAGTGTATTAAGATGCATCAAGGTTGCTCCCCTGACCAAAACCGTTCAACTCAGCTACCCCCCAAACACTTGCTGGGTGAAGCATTCCTAGCCCAAAAACACTTCCAAGCATCTTCCTGCTAGTCTCATCGAGTCTCCTGCTAGTCTGCAGGTCTGCAGACGTTTTGCCCTGGTCCCAAGGTTCCCATCTGCACCTGGAAGCCCTGCAAGCTGTCAGCCAGCTTTGAAGGCGCCTGCGGGTTGAAACGCCACCAGTTTCACGGATGTACGACTGCGTACGACTGTGCGCCGCTCCAACCTTCTCAGCCTTGCTCTCAATTTCACAAGCAGCCTCCAACACAGCCATGGGGTCCTCAGCGTCTGACGACGTGTTGTTTTGCACGACGCGCCAGTGTTTGGGGCTGGCTTGGTGATGTCGGCTGTGACTTTGCACTGCGGACCCATCAACCAACCATCCGCCTGCAATTTCAAGAACTTTTGCCCATGCCAAGCATCCACTCCCGCTTTGGCCAATTTGGCACCCAGATCCGCGGAGGGGCCTTAGAGGAGCGGACGTCAGAATTTGAGAAACGAACGACTGAAAGAAGTAGCGACCAAGCATGTCACACGCAGAATATCAGGGGTGGTGCCGCAACGTCAAGGCGGGTGTTCCAGCTATCGATTTCAAAACATTTGACGTACTCTGCGACATACCACCTACAACAACATGTAGATCATGTATGCTGCAACAGGCTGCTACTACCCATATATCATCCCGTATATATATAATATACACATATAACCCTCAAATGTCAATTAATACCATAAAATCCCATTATATATACCTCGGGACTGTTTTTGTGGTTGTCTTTTCCGCAGCAAAGGAGTTCTCAAAGAGAAACATTCTACAGTCTGAGGGGTGCGATCAATACTGATCTTTCGGGTGCGTCTTGGTGTCTTGATACTTCAGGGTCCACTGACTCATCACTGACTCCGGTAACAACACAGCGAAGTGAACAATTGCTTAACAAAAATAAAAAAAGCTTAGCCTTAGCCATGAGCTCCAAACAAAAACGATCCTTCGAACATCTACCAGGACCTCTACTGGGACCTCTTGGCACCAAAAACCATCCCACCGACCGCGCAGACCCTCCACGGACCAATCCAATCTGATCTAAGCAACTCGAGGACCGATCCTCGTGGCCACGCGCTGCCGGGTCCTCACGGCCACGCGCGACACGAGGTCGTCGCGACGCGTCGCGAGGAGTCGGTACATCATCGGATCAAATCTGATTGGAACATCACTGGCATCTAGTCCTTCTAGTTTCTGTTGGTTCAAGTTCAAGTCTATGGTCAAAATCCAGGGAGTGCGAGATGCACAGTGGTGCGAATGGAACTATTCTCAAGACTGTTTGGTGCATAAAAGATAAGGCCTGTATACTCTTGGGCAAGGGCCTTGCAAAAATCCAACAGAAGCCTACGCAACATAGAAAGAAGGGAGCGTAAAAAGCTTAAAACGCCAGCTCCCTCAGGATTTTTCACCGTGGATATCCATCAATAATCAAGCAAACAAGCTCATCGTTCCATATGTCATGTGTGAACAGCACCCCAATCAATGGAAATCATGCAAACAACAACAGTAATGACAAGAGAACCGCACGAACCCCTCTCACACAGCTGGATTAAGTGGTATCGGCATTCGTTGATCAATCCATATTGAATAGATCTGAATCGTCTGCAGGGCTGTGTGCAGATGAAGGTAAGAGTTGCGATGACTCACACTGTGAATGGCACATCATTGGCCCTGAACAAGGTCAAACTCCGGCCGGGCTCCCTCTGAGTGGACTGTCTGAGCGGAATTATTTGCCTTGGAAAGTTCGAGCCTTTTCTCTGGCACATGCCAAGAGAAAAGCCTGTTGTCATGGACAATAGACTTGCATTTGTACATTCAAAACACAGCAACACAGTGGCAGAAAGAGTCTTCTCCAGATCAAACGTGTTACCCGTTGGACCCGACCAGTCGAAACTGAACCACGGCACAGCTCGAAACTGAGATTGGGCACGCAGGGCTGCCATGCGGGCATTTCAAAAGCCCTTTCATTTTGCACTCAACCCCCCTGGACTAGGGAAAGCACATTAAAAATTACTGAAAATCGTAGAATTCCAGTAGGATTCCTATAGGATTCCTATGGATTCTCATGGTCTAGGCCTCCTCTCCTCTAGGTCTACACCTTCACCGCGTCTCAAAACCGCATCTTTTCTTGCCGCTCCCGGTCTCCTGCCGCTCCCGGCCACGGCGGCCCTCGTCGCGCCGCCGAGAGTGGCTTCGCCTGCAGTCGTTCGCCGGAGCCGGGTGTTCCACCGGCAGAGTGGTCCAGTTGAATCATATGGGCGAAGTGACATGCGTTGAACTCTTGGGCAATTGAACCATATTTATATATATATATTATCTTGTTTATCCAATACCCTCTGAGGATGCAGGCTGAACATGGTCTTGAATGCAACTAAATTCACTCTAAAGGATCACATGTCATTTCACTTCAAAGGATCCGTTGTGGACATGGTGGAGACTCCATGTCATAGAGTCATACTCCCTCCTCTAGCGAACAGTGTGGCGAACGGTGGAGCTATTCAGTTCTCTTGTTGACGAACGGTCGGTCTACCCAAAGCATCACGCCAAACCACCCAAAAGCAGGGCCCCAAGTTGAGATTCTACCAGGTGAAAGACTCTTTGGAATCCAAGTTGGGATGCAAACAGCCTGAAGCTTCCATTTCTGCACACAGTGCAAGCTTCCTGAGCTACTGTCAGTGATCTTTCGTCTAGTGGTCTTTCCATCAGAGTCTCATCTGCATGGTTTATGGACATGTTAGCTCGTTGCCCTTTTGCCATGCATCACCTTTGGAGAAAAACGTACACCTGCTGGTATGGAGCTCCCTGTTCGAAGGATGCAACATCAGTCAGTGGGCGGACAATGATTCATTAGGGATGATGAGGGTATGCAAGGTGGTGCAGTATGGACTGTCCGACAAGTACCCTAAAGGTAGAACTCAAACAAATATATCCCAAAAACCATCCAAAAACTCCATGCTTTGAAAGCTCCAGAGCCGACCGCTCCGCCGACCGCGGAGCAGCGAACACGCCTCCTCCGCTCCGCCGGCTTCGCCGCCCGCCGCGAGCGCCGGGAGCGTGAACGCCGTGCACGCCGGGAAGCGCCGTTCCGGGGGGCCTTGGAGGCGAGAGTCGCGAAAGCCAAAACACGGGTTGGTTGGTGGTTTGCACGTGTGTGAACTCACCAAAGACAGATGAGTCAGGGGGATCAATCATCTCAATGTAAAGGTTGAACCATGTTTGAACATCAACATATCTGAACTTCACCACCCAAACGTTCTCCTGGTTTTTGAGAACTCTTATGGGCTGCATTTTGGTGTGTCACGAGTCCAACAAATAGCGACATTGGATACACAGTCCAACCTCAGTCAAACCTAGGCCTGGAGATGTTTTACCTGGTACAAGTAGGGGAGATAGTTACTATATATTTTAAACTATTATTGATGATATATATATATTTTAATATATATAACTTTACTATATTAGGTTTGATTCATCAACAATGGAAATAACATGAACGTGACACTCCGACAAACACATGGGAAATTGTTTTCCCGTCACCATGTTCCACTTCTGTCCGAGTGACGGGCGACCGGCGGGGCGACCGGCGGGGCGACCTCCGCCGGCTGGAGCGCCTGGCGCATGGTGTGCAGTGGTGAACAAGCCAGGTGGATGATTATAGCACGTGGTGAATTGCCAGGCAAGAAACTGCGCCATAAGTGCGGCCATTGTGCGTGGTTTTACATGATATAGTCTTATTGGTCATGTGAACTGCCATCACTTTGGCATTCGAACAAGCACGGGACGGACCTCACCAGCAACGGGTCCGGCTTCCGGTCAGATCCGATGCTGACCATGCCACGCGTGTCTTTTGGAGCGCCGTTTTCGTTCGCGTCTACGCCAGCCTTCTCAGGCAGAGCGCAGAGTGTCCCAGCGTTCTTGTTTCAAAAGCGCCTCTGGTATGTTAGTATGGAGTAGCAACCCCCCATTCCCCACAACAAGCCTTTTAGGTGGCATGGGGCTAGGGTAGTCCATTTTTCATTGCATCATCTCCACGTCAGACTGCATTTCATGGGCCCTTGTCAAGGGCGAAAGCCAAATATCTTTATGTCTTCTCAAGAGAAGCACCCTTTGCCTTTGGTTGCTGCTGCAATTTTGCTAAACAGAAACAAGACAACACCATGCGAGCAACTTAGTTTGACAAAGCCATGGATATAGTCAGGATTACTTCTACTGTAGGTTAAACTAAATTAGGCTAAGTTGTTGAATCAATAATTGGACAGGTAATGAACGAACGGAGAGATTGGATCCTGGGCAAATCGAAGTAGTACGTAGTAGTGTCTAAGGACAATGAATTCTATACAATTCTTGCTCAGAGAACAGGAAGTAGCTGTCCCATGTTATCCTGTGTGCTCAATTCATGTATGAGATTCCCATCCCAACTCAACCACTCAGAGAATTAACCATTCTGCTGGGCTGTAGTTGGTAGACCAAGACACAGCCAGAAACAAAAGGGTCCCAGCTAGATCCTACTTGGGTCTCAATTCAGCCCGAGGCTTGCACGATTTGTTTCCTTTCATGTCGGATCCCGCCTCATGCGGTCCGACATGGCTGTGGGTCGGCACCAGAACACCCTTAGGCTGACCTATCTGGGAGGTCAAGCTACATGGTGGACCAGGGCTCCAGGTTCATCCTCACATCCTTTCGGGGGGCAAAGTTCGGATGCCGAAGATGGGTACGCGACCAAGATGGGATGCACATCTGCGTTTACCCCCCAAAAAAAAGAGCTCCAACTTGAATCTGATGGTAGCTTGGGTGAACAGACTTGGTTTGTAGGCACCCAAGCAGGTCGGTCAAACAGTCTGTCGCAGACTTGAGAGGGACTATGTTGGGGTTTTACATGTGAAATGGTCTGGTGAAATGGCAGCCTAGGCAAAATGACAAGCCTTTCTGACTATCGTGAGAGGGAGCGGATAATGCTGAATGAATGAATGAATGAATGAATGAATGAATGAATGTCAAACGACCTGAATGTGCTTGGGGTGAAGAGCTGCTGGAAAAATCACGTCGGCTAAGCCGTCTGCGCAGGATATGATTCTGCATCAATCTTAGTCCATCTCACCACTAGGACCACCGCGGTTCGCAGTTCCGGTGACATGTTGATGTTCTCAAGGGACAGGTCCACACGAAAGGGAAGAACTCTCATGGTCCACACGGTCTGACATGAATGACTTCGATCGAAGCTGATGATTTCCCCATCCAAGCTAATGGAGGCCACAAAGACAACAACGTGAAGAGACGTGAGACGTATAATACAGCTATTTTGTGTAATGTAGGGTCCCGGTGCCCCGAAAATGAAAGAACATTGAGCTAAATTCACCGTGGTAAATCCAAATCTGCCGCGCTTCCTGCTGGTGAACCCCCCTGTTGAAGTGGTCCTTCCCTTTCGATGAGTTGGTCGCGGTTTGGGGAACGTGGCACCCAACACCCAGACAAGGACCTGGTCGATCAAGCCAAACCGCGACCGCCCGTCACAATCTTTGTTAGATACATATCCCTAGGGCTCCAAGTACCTTCGTTTCGAAGATGCTTGGGGTGGGTGCCAGGAGGGTCCAGTCATACCGAACCTGAGGTTCGGTACGACTGGATTATAGTATATGAGTGCGTCTTGCTTCACGCCCACCTTTCTCAAAGCCCCCAAAGCACCGAGGATGTGCCCGCCCGCAAATGCCTCCGGTCGAGTCCGGTCGCTTCTGGCTCGAGACCGTGGTTTGAAGCACTCACCCGGAAGGTGATGTTGGGCCACTGATACTAGGAGCGATCGGACGCTACGAACGGGGCTCCTGGCATCGCTACGAACGGAGCATTCTTACTACTAGTAACAAGAAGCTAGGTGTTTGATGGTGGTCTGCACGCACTGAGGTGTCCTCATCTGGCTCTTTTGCATCAGCAGATCTCTGCATCGTTTCGCCCCACGGACACATGCACCCCCATAAACGCCCTAGAAGGGCGGCGTGACACCAAGACACAAACACCGTGTGATGGATGTTCTGTGGTTTTTTTCCATCACTTCATGCATAGGTGATCATAGGTGCATAATGGAAGGTGCAACTTGGATTGCGGGTGATCCGGTGACACACACCCCTCTTGCAAGTGTCCGTGCACTGATCATAGATGGACATGAGATCCATAGGATGTCCCAGCTGCATGGCACACATCGCCAGACTGATTGTTGAGTCAACAGCTGTGTTTTTCTAGTGATTTCTCACACCACACAAAACGATGCACTGATGAAAGGTGGTTGTTGCAAGACCTTCGATATCCCTCATACTTGGCGATGTTGAATACGTATAAAATCTTAGCATCTGCTGCTCTCAAAAAGCTCCAGTGGCTTCACAAAAATCTATGCTCCGAGGCCTTCACATATGGCATCAAATGTTCACTTAACAAAGGTTAAGTTGGTGACTGGATGAACCTGATGGCTACACCGAAGAAGAGTGGGTCAAAGCAACTCCCAAAGGACCTCATATTTTGATGTAAATACTGGCTCCACTAGCCAACATTCCTCATGTGGTCTGCTGACAGACTCACATGAAGCAAATAGTCTTGTAAGCTCTTCGCGCTCGGTATGCCCTTCATGTTCCTCGTACATCGCCCAGCTGCATAAAGGATTCCAAAAGCAATGAATCTCCAAACTACTTCTTTCATCCACCTGCGACCTCGATCCATCTATGCCGGCACCCAGCTTTAAAACCCAAGCACCATTCAGGTGTGTAAGAGGCTGCTTTCAGCCATCACACCGCGAGGTTTTCGGGAATTCCTCCCGCCAAGCTCAAGGCCGACCCATCCAGGGTGCCAACCAACAGGTGCAGGAGCAGGTCAAGTGGTGGGTTCAGGGGGTCTCCAATAGCTCTGTTTTGCGCATTTGGCCCAACTCCCTCTTGCCCCAGGTCGCTGCAGTCAAGCCATTTCAGACTTCGTTCGTGGGACCTTCGATGGATCCGCCGGGAGCCTGGCGATACTCTACAAATAGATCGCCCACACATGGTGGGGGCGCGGCCAGGGAGGTGAGGGAAGGGGGATCCGATCCCGTAAAAAACCCAAGTTGAGTAATGAGTTGGGCCGCTAAGAGTTGCCAGGATCTTCCTGTTCAGGTATCAACTGAAACGCCAAGCATTCGATAGTGCGCTCCAGCAAGGACCCCATGGAAGGTTAAACCAACGTCAAAACAACAATGAGGAATGATCAAGACCAGTTGTTCCTCAGCTAAACAAACTGTGAGACTTCCCAAACAGATCTTATAAGTTCCTCCGAATCAACATATATAGACGTAGGGCCCCAAAGCCGGAGCCCTTAGGGGATGAGGACAGCGGCTCTCCGATTCCGCGGCGGCTCGCGCCAGGCGCTCTCTCGATCTGCTTTTGTATGGCACAAGAGTGGCCACCACATGGATGTGTGTTTTAGGGAGACCTCCTGACCTCCCCCGGTTTTGGCCCCATTTTCCCTTCTTTTAAGGGGAGGTCCGTGTTGAATACACACGTAGGAATATACGTGGGCACACAGACTTCATTCTCCAGCACAAAGAGAGAAACACCATGCAAGTTCCTTTGCTTACGCTACCGGATATTTTTCTCTTCAACGTACCCTACATAAGATACAAACTATTTTGTGCTGGGGTCAAAACCTTGTGGCTACCCCCACTTGGGCTGATGACGGCTTTGACCCCGTTCCCCCACTTTCCGGCTTAGCTCCGCAAGCGCTCCCGTCGGCCGCCTCAACTGTTTGGTGATCAGAACACGGGACGTCGGCTGCACAACAACCGCCTCGCTTTCACAGACACCAAACACCAATGAAATTGATTATGCAGGACAAACAGTCAACATGGCCCTTAGTCCCAAAAGCCCCTCAAAAACAGTCTTGGGCTGGGTTGTGTGCGAAGAATAAACGCACATCTGCACAGGAAGCTCGCTGCGTTATGGTCCCACAACTCTGCGTCAAGGCAGAAGATTCAGAGTATCAAAAACTAATCTTTGATCTTGCATCGCTCTGTCACACGTAGCATCACCAGCATCACCAAACGACAACGAACCCTTGAACATACCATCAACTCAGTTCTACAATCACGTGTGTCTAGCATCACCACGTGATTGGCTCTGGGTAAACCATCCATTCGTCCTCGGTGCCTTCCGCAAACTGTTGAAATCAGTCTCAGAGGCGTTGAGGGCTTCTTCGGAGCCCTGTGAAGCTCGGGCTCCGACCTCCCTCCTCATCACTTCCCCCCGGCTCGCACGTTCCACCCGGATCCCCCAACTCCAGTTCCGCGGTCCACTGCGCCGCGCGGTAGCACCCTGCGGTCTCGGATGGATGGTGTTGACCACCGAAGCGAGCCATTTCCAGGTTTTGCATGAGGACTTCCTATCATGGAGGGAGCGATTCCATCGTGGACGACTTATTTGAACATGACACTAACCAAGGTTTGAATATAGGTAAATGTACATGTTCCATTCTGCAATTGGATCTCTAATACGTATGAGGATCAGTTCGGTCAAACCTCTGGGCTTCTGAATGTTTCGCGACGCTGGCCCGGTGGGGGAAGAATCCCGAGTGAGGTCATGTCGAGGTGTTCTTTCAGTCTCTCCAAGCAAGCAGGTCATGGAATGGTATACTGGGAACTCATACACCTAAACACAATTAAACACGCACCCGGTCACCCCTTTGGAACTCCGGGAACGATACGAGGAAGACATCAGTTCGCCAGCAGGTGCATTCACAAACACCTGTCTAACTGATCATCTCCACATGCATGTTGGGTCAAGTGTGCCCTTCTGGGAGTGACCGGCTACATGTTTTCTGTTTGAACAGAAACACCTAAGATCCAGGACTTACAATTTAGTTTTGTCATTGAATATCTTATCGGGCAGTAGAGTAACTTGGGCTCGACTGGGATCATCAAACAACAGGCGATGTGCGACCGGTCTGCGTGACAGGCGATGTGCGATGCCCCGACGCGAAAAGAAAAACATGAAGCCACCCGTGGGTGGTCGATTTGTAGAGACCCATCTTTGGGTGTTGTTGGGTTCTTTTACAAAGAAGCACAAAGAATGATAAAAACACATCTAATTATAAGTATAGGATCATTTTTATCATAATTTGAACAACATGATTTCTAGCTATACCATCACCCCCCACAACCATGAAAAAGAAAGGTTTTATCTTGCAACCTATATTTTCAAGGATGTCAAGTTGAAAACCCGGTTTTGTGGTTTTGGTCATGTTTGCTCATGTCATGATTTGTTCATGCAACCCTGTGAAACCAAAGTAAACCCTTTGTTCATGACCCTCATGCTCCCCAACCACTCGCCCAGCCCGTTTCCGCTGCATGTGCTGGCTGCATGCGTGGTCATCCCGATGCACTTCGTGCTTGGATGCCAATGCCTGGACCTTGGGCCTGGATCGACAAGTTGGATTTGTGGTTGACTGGCAGGGCAAGTTTTTCTAGAGCTGTGGAAACTTGAAAAATAGCTTTGGTGGCCCAGGTCAGCTTATAGGCATCCCCCTGAAACCCCTGGATCCTAACCAGCTTCTCCCAAGGCATTCCTGACAGCCAGGAAGGTTCGCTGGATGACCCTTAAAGATGTCGTTTTCGATGAAACCCTTCTAGCTAGTCTGCTAGGCTTCCCGATGAAGTCTTCCTGCATCTGTACT